ACTGTTAATCCAGATCGATATCTCTTTAAATCAACTGTTGGTAGATTGACTAAATAATACACTAAGAGTATTACCTATAATTATGCAGACCCAATGAAGATACTGCAGAGGATGTAATGGGAATTACACAAAATATAAAATTAGAAAATTAGGAAAAAACACTAAAATCTAATGCTTAATAATAAAAGTTGAAAAAATTCTGATAATCAAAATTTTTTTATTGCAATTCAAAAAACATATCAAAGAATAAAAATATGTAAAAATATGAGTCAGGAACAGTTAGCAAAAGGGTTACCAGCAGAAGGGTAATCTTGTTCTTTAGAGAGTCACAAAATCCGGCTAGGATGGATATGGATATAATGTGTCAGAAATGTATCTCTGTACTTGCCGGCTGCCGGTGGGGTTGGCGTGCATCCCAGACCTCACTCTGGGTGGTAGGTCGGTCCCCTGATTGACGGTTCTCTCTGGTTGAAAGAGAGGTATTCCTTCTGCCGGTTTAGCTCTGCTCCGTATCATGCTCACTGGTATCAGTCTGTCTAACGCGTTTCGTGGGTGTCAGCCCCACGTCATCAGAGACATGGTGAAGATTGAATACCGAGCCATGACTTATATACACAGCCGGCATATTTACACAGTTTACGTATATCAGCATTTTGTGAAATACACACGTTCAGATAAAAATATAGAATGCATACATGAAACATAAGTGTATATATCTAAATGCATACACATCACAGTAGATGCAAATTGAATAAATATAAAATTAGTATACAAGTTAAAGATTAAAAATAAGAATAAAAATAAAAATAAAAATTAGTGGTTTTAGAGAGTTACAAGTTTTAAAAATTAGAAATGGAGATAAAGGAGATAATAATGGGTCATAAAATTCATAATAGAAATTATCATAAAAACAGTACTATAATATCATTGTAAATATCATTGTAAATCATTTAAATACTCTATTTGGTAAGAATTATACATTGGCAGTAGTTGATTGTAGAGATATATATCTATAAAAATAAATTTATAAATTTATAAAAATGAATTTATAAAAATAAATTAATAGAGATAATACTGGTTGTTTAAGAGGTAGATGAATGATACAAATTGATAAATTTATGAACATCTGTTTGATGGATAATCTCGAAAACTCGTTGTAATAATGATTCATCGAGAAATATATTATATATTGTATATTATTAAGTGGAGATTTATCTCTGATCGTTTGCATATAGTAACAATCCGTAAAGATATGTTCAAGCATAGTGTATTACTGAAGACCTGTTGAAAAAACTATGTAAAAAAGAAGGTACATGATAATAATAATTATAATAAATAGGTGAAATTGGGGGTTAAATTAAGAACTCAGAATTATAGTTAAGTATAAAATATATCGAAACAGTAGACACCCGTATCAGGGATGATGAAAATAGATAGAAATAGATCAGGGATTGTGGATAGAAGATACCTATCTTCAATTACGATTTAACGGAGATCGAATAAGGATAATAGTAAGGATGATAATACTAGATCAGAAATTATGGATAAAAGGTCCCTATCTTGAATTGCGGAGGTCCGATACAAATGTCGTTAGGACTGAGAACAGAATATTCACAGAGAGCCTTGGCTAAAATGATGGCTATATAAAAGTGGTATCGACATACAAATAGAAAAGAGAATAATGTGTCAGGGTATTTATATCGGCAGACATTTTGTGCTATGATAGAAACTAAAAGTGTATATTCTGAGTCACTCTGAACAGACCAGACTCCATTTTGTTATTCCAAGTTAACAAAAAAAAAAGACACAAGATTTCTTTCTGTAAGACTAGCCACTTTGCCAGAGCTAAGGAATGCATAGTATAAACAAGTGATAAGAAGAATATAACCAAATCTAAACCCAGACAATTGTGACAGAGAAGATTAAATAATAAAATTTAACTGTCTATATATATATAAGGTACCATTGTATGGAAAAGGGTAAACTTAGTTCATGATCTGCTATATCAGAAAAAACTCAGATTTGCCAGACACATAGTCTGGACAAAATTTAAGAAACCCTTTGAAATTTTAAATTATGGCACTATAAAGATAACGCAAAATTACGTCAAAATAGCCACCAGGAAAAGTTAACTCTTTCCTGGATAGGTATGTTTAGTGGGACAAGACTGCCCTCTATAGATCAAATAACTAAATTGCGATCTGGAAGATAACCACACCTCTAGTGCTTCTATTGGGTTATCAACTGATGACATACAGAGAGTCTGGCCCTTTAAAAGTTAAGACAAAGGGAAGATAGAGTTATGCACGGTATGCAAGAGATGCAAAGGAGAAAGGAAAAGAGGAGAGAGGAATTGGAAGTTTGGGGACTCCAACCTCCATGCAGAGAGACATCCAAATAAGTTCCTGAGACTACCAATCGGATGAAATATCTACTCAACTGGTAATTATACTGGTTTCATTTAATTAATTTAATTAATTAAAATGTATTAATAGCATTATATATGACTGGATAAAGCACGGTCAGATTTCCATATTAAGAAATCTTAGTTAACTAAAGAATATATAGTTATAAACATTCCATTCTGCAGGTGGAATTAAGAATAATTATATATTGATGTGATATTATCACGTGTTAGCATACCGCTGTTTTTATCCAGGTGTATTGATTTGCTCTAATATAAGATAGATATCTTTTAGACAAACAAACTCTGCTTATATAATCATGGTAGATTCTCTTATTGGATGGTTCCAGGAAATGACTAATGAACTGGTTTAAATGTTATTTTATTTAAAATTACATAAGAATAGACCTTAACTACCTAGGAGATCTAGCCAGCATTGAAAGGGTTATTCTAACTGTCAGCTAAACTTTACGACCTTACGCTGCACTCTGAGGAATTCTGTTCTTCTGTGAAAAGTTTCACTTTCAGTCTGTGTTAAAGATAGTCATAAATAAAGACTTGACAGAAAATGCTAGTTAGCCATTGAAACGTAATACCCATTCCTTTGTATTGCATACCATTTTATACTGGATATTCATTGATTATTGTCATGCATGTTACATGTTATTATTAATTAATTTGTTATTAAAAATAAAAATCTATTTTTATACATTGTGATATTATTATATGAAATATTTCTCACTTACGATAACGATATTTGGGATCTGAGAATTGAATTAGTGGGCAATTCTCAACTGTTTACTATTATTATCCCATAAATATCCCCACATATGATAGGTGCATTAAGAGTATAATATAATATTAGTCAGTGTAATACATAGTTATACTTAAGTGCATATATTTTAATGCATATATATGTTGTTTAGTGCATCCTGTAAAAGTAGTGTGATGATATATACAGAAAGTGAAAGTGTGTGATAAAGATGTTAATAAATGATATGTCTAGTTGCCTTCTGGCCTAAAGAAATTCATAAGGAAAATATCTATTAAAAATGTTTTTGTAGATAAAGATAAGATGCAACCAGTTCTAACACAAGGCTATACCCACACAGAACTACACCCCACTTCCACGTTCTACCCACAACATGTCAAGACTGACTCAATCAAAGTATTTGAGAAGATGGTGGAACATGACTTTAGAAAGAAAATTACTGATAAGTTTGAGAATGACAACCTCACAGAAAGAGAGAGGCACTCACTCAAACAACTCATGAAATTGGAAGATATAACATTCCTGGAATTGGATCCCTCACCGCAAATCTCTCCGAGTATGTAGATCAGTACTTGCAAAGGATGGTACCATGTCTTAAATCATACCTAAGGGACTCTACACAAATTTTAAACCTTTTATCTGATTTTCATTGGACTGAAGGTATGCTTTTAGTTACAGCAGATGTCACCTCATTGTATACGGTGATAGAGCACTTACAGGGCTGCGAGGCAATACAATACTCTTTGGCGGTATACTCAGAGTTAAAAAACGACCAAATTGATTTCTTAATTCAATGCATCGCGTTCATTCTTACCCACAATTATTTTTGGTGCGATGACCAATTTTATCTTCAAATTGAGGGAAACGCCATGGGGACTCGTTTTGCGCCAAGTAATGCGAATTTATTTATGGGCAAATGGGAAGAAGAATTTATATGGAACCATTGCCCATTTGGCGCAAACCTGTCCCTTTGGCGGAGATATATCGATGATTGTTTTTTTATCTGGAAGGGAGACCTGGCATCTCTTGAGGAATTCAAGATCTACCTCAATACAAACCCATACAACCTCAAGTTTACTTTTAACCACTCATATGAACAAATTTAATTTTTAGACCTTAACATCTACATTGAAGAGAATGTGATACAGACTAAGACTTTTAAAAAAACAGTAGATTGTAATAGTTTTATCCCCTTTAATAGTCACCATAAACCAACCTGGCTTAAGAACATTCCACATAATCAATTTAGGAGGATTAGAAGAAACTGCTCGAACCTGAAAGTATGTGATGATCAGATGAAAGACATGGAACAGAGATTTACAAACATAGGATATCCCATGACACTACTCACTGAAGCAAGAAAGAAGGCTCTAGCTATTCCCAGAGAAGACACCTTAAAGAATAAGACTAAGAATACGGGAACATTCCAATCGACACCTGCATTTATAACGCAATTCAACCACCAATCCAAAACTATAGAGAAAATTGTAAAGAAACATTGGAACATCCTTAAGAGTGATCCGACTCTAACAGATATTTTGGATAGTAAACCACACATTATTTTTACAAGAGCACCAAATTTACAACTCATGCTGGCTCCAACCCTGAAATCGAACAAGGACACGCAGGATAGAACAGCAATGAAGGGTTTCAGGAGATGCAAAAAGTGCATTGCATGTAGGAATAATCCCTCTCTGGAGTTTGAAATTACATCATTCATATCGATGAACAACATGGAAGAATTTAATTTGAAGACAGATATGAGTTGTGATACGAAAGGGGTGATTTATCTCATCACGTGTCCATGCCCCAAACAATATGTAGGTCGAACAAAAAGAACATTAAAGACCAGAATAGCGGAACATATCCAAAATATAAAGAAGGGACTTCAGACACACAATCTTTCTAAGCATTTTCAGGAAGTTCATGGAGGAGATCCTACAGGACTTAGATTTCTACCCATCGAAAAAGTTAACGTCCATTGGAGAGGTGGTGACATAGAGAGGAACTTGGACCAAACCGAAGCAAGATGGATCTTTCATTTAGAAACTCTGGTCCCGAAAGGTCTAAATATAGACTTCGAACTGAATGCATTTCTATGAAATGTTCAATTCTGCTATTCTATCTATCTATATATATATATATATTTTTTTTTTTTTCCTTCTCTCTCTCCCATTATGCCACCATAGGTTTATACATTTATATCACTTCACTATCCCACCATACAAGCCAGAAGGCAACTAGACATATCATTTATTAACATCTTTATCACACACTTTCACTTTCTGTATATATCATCACACTACTTTTACAGGATGCACTAAACAACATATATATCCATTAAAATATATGCACTTAAGTATAACTATGTATTACACTGAGTAATATTATATTATACTCTTAATGCACCTATCAGTATTCTCTTTTCTATTTGTATATCGATACCACTTTTATATAGCCATCATTTTAGCCAAAGCTCTCTGTGAATATTCTGTTCTCAGTCCTAACGACATTTGTATCGGACCTCCGCAATTCAAGATAGGGACCTTTTATCCATAATTTCTGATCTAGTATTATCATCCTTACTATTATCCTTATTCGATCTCCGTTAAATCATAATTGAAGATAGGTATCTTCTATCCACAATCCCTGATCTATTTCTATCTATTTTCATCATCCCTGATACGGGTGTCTACTGTTTCGATATATTTTATACTTAACTATAATTCTGAGTTCTTAATTTAACCCCCAATCTCACCTATTTATTATAATTATTATTATCATGTACCTTCTTTTTTAAATAGTTTTTTCAACAGGTCTTCAGTAATACACTATGCTTGAACATATCTTTATGGATTGTTACTATATGCAAACGATCAGAGATAAATCTCCACTTAATAATATACAATATATAATATATTTCTCGATGAATCATTATTACAACGAGTTTTCGATATTATCCTTCAAACAGATGCTCCCTTCTCAATGCTTAACTCTTTCTTACTTCCTTTGACTATTTTTAATACTATTTAGGGATAAACCTTAATCTCTACATTTATTCTTATTATTGTATCTATTAATCACATTACATACATTTATTAATTCATATCATTCATCTACCTCTTAAACAACCAGTATTATCTCTATTAATTTATTTTTATAAATTCATTTTTATAAATTTATAAATTTATTTTTATAGATATATATCTCTACAATCAACTACTGCCATATAGGATTAAATGTATAATTCTTACCAAATAGAGTATTTACACATAGTCCAATTTACAATGATATTATAGTACTGTTTTTATGATAATTTCTATTATGAATTTTATGACCCATTATTATCTCCTTTATCTCCATTTCTAATTTTTAAAACTTGTAACTCTCTAAAACCACTAATTTTTATTTTTATTTTTATTCTTATTTTTAATCTTTAACTTGTATACTAATTTTATATTTATTCAATTTGCATCTACTGTGATGTGTATGCATTTAGATATATACACTTATGTTTCATGTATGCATTCTATATTTTTATCTGAACGTGTGTATTTCACAAAATGCTGATATACGTAAACTGTGTAAATATGCCGGCTGTGTATATAAGTCATGGCTCGGCATTCAATCTTCACCATGTCTCTGATGAAGTGGGGTTGACACCCACGAAATGCTTTAGACAAACTGATACCAGTGAGCATGATACGGAGCAGAGTTAAACCGGCAGAAGGAATACCTCTCTTTCAACCAGAGAGAACCGTCAATCAGGGACCGACCTACCACCCAGAGTGAGGTCTGGGACGCACGCCAACCCCACCGGCAGCCGGCAAGTACAGAGATACATTTCTGATACATTATATCCATATCCATCCTAGCCGGATTTTGTGACTGTCTAAAGAACACGATTACCCTTCTGCTGGTAACCCTTTTGCTAACTGTTCCTGACTCATATTTTTACATATTTTATTCTTTGATATGTTTTTTGAATTGCAATAAAATAATTTTGATTATCAGAATTTTTTCAACTTTTATTATTAAGCATTAGATATTAGTGTTTTTTTCTAATTTTCTAATTTTCTAATTTGGGTAATTCCCATTACATCCTCTGCAGTATCTTCATTGGGTCTGCATAATTATAGGTAATACTCTTAGTGTATTATTTAGTCAATCTACCAACAGTTGATTTAAAGAGATATCGATCTGGATTAACAGTGTCACTACACCTAAATACATAAGAGAAAATAGCTGTCTATGCTGTTATTCTATACTATTTAATCACTTAAGCGAAGTAGATTATTCGGTGTATACCATATTGGATCTGTCTCTAGCAGGTTTAAAGTTGTACACACCATACATATAGTTGTTATATTTGGATGTCTGTTGCAAGATACTCAGTATAACTGTACATATTTAAGCCATTTTTGGGTATAACAGTTCCTGGACTTTTTGAACTGTACCAAGGTGCTATTCTTTTCGACTCACAACTGTTTGGACAGGTATTGGGTGAATTCCTGTTTTTGTCCAGTATTTTGAGCGACCCATTATAAGTCAGACTCCCTCAACCCTGTGTGTTGCACTAGGCATACCTGATTTTTATATTTTAACTCTTGTCCATAATGACTATTCACAAAACACCTAATGCATTTGGAATTTGGTTGGCCGGAGAGAATTTGCATCAATTGTCCGGATTAGGATTTGGAGGATTCACAAGGCATCCAATTTAAACTGAACAGGGCCTGAATGCATCTGGTAGGATGCACATTCGCAATTAATGTGAATAATAAGCTACCCACTGGCAGCACTAACAGCTAGTGGGCAAATAGTTAAAAAAAACCTCAGCCACACAAGGGTTAAGTATGTAATGGTTGTCTAGCGCTTGCTAACCATCTGCCACATTGAATTTGTTTTCTAAATAATAAATAAAATAAAAGCCTATGGTGGTCAATAAGACTATAACGGATGTTTTAGACCTCTCTATTCCTCCACCTGCCATGCAGCAGTTGGGGCTATGTATACTAAATGTTTAAACCTAGTGACTGGACACCCATTGCTGCCAAGTTGCTAGAAAAAGCCCCACCCCATCACAAGTAACCAGGGGGACTAGTAACCCATGAACATCAGGTAGGGGACTATTAGTAATGGGGGGTAATGAGGGGTGGACACAGTGGCATACACACAATCCATGGGGCCCCGGTGCGAAACTGATCCGTGGGCCCCCTCCACTCCCTCCTTCCGACAGACACACACACACACACACACACACACATACATATACAGACAGACACATACAGACAGACACACACACAAGACATATATCAAAGACACATACAGACAGACACACACACAAAGACACATACATACAAACAGACAGGCACACATACATACCGACAGACTCACACACACACAGGCACACACACATACAAAGATACATACATACAAACAGGCAGGCACACATACATACATACATACAGACACATACATACATACAGACAGACACACACACACAAGACACACACACATAAAAAGACACAGGCACACAAACACACAGACAAACACACACATACACACACATAGAGACAGACAAACACATACATACAGACAGACACACATACATACACACATACAAACAACCACACACACACACACACACACAATGTTAAGTCATCCTCCTGTTTCCTACCTTTTAGGTGCAGAAGGGTGACGCTTCCTGGGGTCCAGTGGTGGCTCACAGAGTTCCCACTCTGACTCCCTCTGCTTCCTCCCGTGCGGGCTGTGTAGCTGGGAGGAGTGATGTGCAATCACTTCCTCCCAGTGTGTGATCTCATCACAGGGGGCCCAGTCACGCTGTTAAAATGCTGCAGCACTGACCGGGCCCTCTGACAATCCCCTGACAATCCATCTCCATTGGGTGGCACTGACAGCATGGGCCACCCGATGGACCCCTTGAACGGCAGTTTGCCGCACGGGCCGGGGCAGCAAAAGATGGGGGCAGGTACCCAGTCACAGGGGTCCGCTGTGACCGCGGTATGTACGCCACTGGGATCACCTGGGACCAGCAGGTAGGAATATGTAATACAAATAAATGGGGGCATACCCATCCCACACTTTCCTGTTGTTAGTGTGTGTGATTGTTGTAATAATTATGAGAAAGATCCTAGTGTACTCCCCAGCCCATGCCCATAGGTTGCTAATTAAATATACAATAATAATTATACAAATAGTTGTATGTCCCCTTTTTTGCCAACTCCTCCCAGGTAGCTGGTTGTCCCCAATCCCTTAGCCACTGCCTAATACAAATAAATCATCCTTTCCTACCCCACCTCACCCTAATAATAGTGAAGGGGGGCAATTAATCTAATGTGTAAAACTATATAATCACCCATCAGAAGTTTTATCTTCTAATTCTTCTTATCTTTGGCCCCAAAAAAGGCCAAATAATTGTTCCATAGTAACCAACGCCACAAATTAAAATAAAAAATAAAACCTGACTGGAAAAACCAAACCTGCCAGAAAAAATATAAAATAAATCCATCTTCACTCATGTAAGGCTTCATGCAGAATGAGCTCTTGAGCTTTCCCATGATATCTCAGTTATTGCCCAGCGTGGGGAAATATGACCTGTCTGATTGGTTGAATGGTAAGTCAACTAATCAGACAACTCTGCCAATTTGCCTTGATCACCCCAAAAAACACAAAACAGCCTTTTTACTATTCCATCCCCCTTTTTGTCTCGTACCAGGAATTGCACTCCGAATTACAAATAAAAACAAGTATGTTCGGGAATCAGGAATTCTTCTCATCATCTGATTGGCCAAAATCTGGCCAAATTGCAGTACAATTTGGGAGTCTATTTGGGTCTCAAATTGCAGTCTATTTGAGAGGTAACTTGCTTCCTATTATAAAATGGATAGCTATGCCTAATATATTACAGCGAGAATTCTTATGGTTTGTCTTCACGTATTTGTTAATGATTTTAAAGATTTACATAATAAGTTGTAGCTATGAAAATCAGTTTAGGACCATGTGTTAAATGTAGAATAATCACCATGAAAATTAGACGAAAACATGCCAACGTACCGACAGAATATTTCTTTATAAATATTGCCCACAATGCATAGCTGTTTT